AAAAAAAAAAAAAAAAAAAAAAAAGGAAATGAACTAGCCTAACAAATACACACAGGAAAACATTCTGCTAGGGAATGGTAATTTTCTGATGATACCTGTGTTTAGAAGGGACTGAAATTGATGTCCATTTACCTGTTTGAAGTCAGAAAGCATCAGAGAACTGCAACATAAAACCACTCCACACAAGAGCGCCCCGGTCCTCGAAGACTAGAGATCTTGCCCCACGCTCCCCTCCCTTCCAGGCTTGCTGGGAAACTCCATCCCACTCAGGGGTTCAACGCAGAAATACCTTCCTCAGGGAAAACAGGACACTACTTCCCTACCCAGGAGATGCCACCACAGGGCAGAAGCCTCTATTTGGGCTTCACAAGGACACCACACACAGTCTAAGGACACTACATGCAGGCCTTCGCCAACCTAAGACGCAGGATGGTACCCTCTGTCCCAAGAGACCACTGAACACGGCCCAGGAGTCTTCTCATCAAAATTCATTTTTTTGCTTCTGATTTTCCACCAATCAAGTCTCCAAATCCCAGTTTCTCCAATGGTTCTTGTAGCATCAATTTTCTAAAAGAAAAAGAGAATGCCGTCAGGACGGGAGGTGCAGGGAGGAGGAGAGGCGCTCTCGCAGGTCCTGCTTCTCAATGCACACCAGGGTTCCTGCTACCCCTATCTACATCCTGGGAAAATGAAACCCAGAGAGCAGCCCCTCAGCCTTGCCCCCAGTGGCTGCCACCCTCTGCACTGGGCAGAGTCAACAGGGCCATGAGGACATGACCAGCAAGGCCATCCCAGGGCCGAAGGCCTGTGGCCTCCAGGGATGCCCAAGGGGGCCACTGCGCCCGTGGCTCCAGAACCCTTCCCCATGTCCTGGTAAAAGATGTATCTGGACAACAGCTTCATGCTGACCTCGTAGATTTGCGTTTGTTGGGAGAATAATGACTCTAAAGATGGTCACACCCTAATCCCTGGAACCTGTGCCTGTCACCTTCCACGGCACCCTGGCAGAGAAGACCTCAGGATGCCACTTGCCCAGACGGAACTAAGACTGAGGTCAACAATTAGCTAATTTTCTTTTCGAGACAGGGTCTCACTTTGTCTCCCAGGGTGGGACACAGGGGTGCAATGCACAGTTCAAGTTCACTGCAGCCTTGAACTCCTGGGCTCAAGTGATCCTCCTGCCTCAACCTGCTGAGTATCCGACACTGCAGGTGTATCCCACCATGCCCAGCTAACATTTTTTTCCCCGAGACAATCTCACTCTATTGCCCAGGCTGGAGTGCAGTGATGCAATCTTGGCTCACTGCAGCCTCCACCTCCCAGGTCCAAGCGATTCTTGTGCCTCAGCCTCCTGAGTAGCTGGGACTACATGGACACACCACCATACCTGGCTAATTCTTATATTTTTAGTACAGATGGGGTCTCACCATACTGGTCAGGCTGGTCTCAAACCAGCCTGAAGTCAGGAGTCTCAAACTCCTGACTTCATTTGATTTGCCTGCCTCGGCCTCCCAAAGAGCTAGGATTACAGGCATGAGCCACTATGCCTGGTCAGCTTTTTTTTTTTTTTT